CTTTTCATTGAAGAAACTTTTTCTTAATATTCAATCTAAACCTCTCCTGGCATAACTTGAGGCCATTTCCTCTTGTCCTACCAATTTTTACTCGGGAGGAGAGACCAGCCCCCATCTGGACACAACCCCTCCTATTGTAGAGAGCTATAAGGCCCCACTTTCCTTCAGGCTGAACACCCCCAGCTGCCTCTCATGGGACCTCAGGACCTTGATGCTCAAACCTACCCAGGCCTGGCCTTGGGTCCAAAGTCGGGCACTGTGAACTTCAGCATGGATGGGCAAAGATTGATCACACAGCTGTGTCATGGGCCTAACCACTTCTGCTTCCTTTCCCCCAAATCAGCCTTTTCCTTTTCACAGTCCCCAGAATCCTTCTTGTCCTCCTAGATCTGGGTTTCACTTGTAATTAACCAGATGCCATTGGGGAGTTCTGTTAAACAGCTCTGAACATCCTGATGTTCCTGGTTCTTGGGAATGGGGCCACAGGGAACATTTTATGAGTCCCCTTAGGAAACAACCCCTGAGAGACTCCCACAACCTCACCCAGAGCTCCTGCTGCTGCTGCCTTCTGCCCTGTCATCCGTGAAACCCTGTGGACCGGTTTTGGATTTCCCAAGACAGAATAAATAGTTAAGGCTAGCTCCTCTACACTTCCTCCTCATCCCTTTCAAGGAAAAAGTCTCTTCACTGCTTGCTCTTTGAATGATGAAGTAAAAGCAAGCAATTTCTCATCGTTAAGTTCTTTGAGCTGCCTTAGGAAGGAAGGAAGAGAAGAGCAACACTTATTTCACAAGGTCCCCTGCAGAAGGGGGGCACCAAGGGTCACTTCCTCTCAATCTGTCCCCTCCGAAGGAGAGCAGTCAGGCTGTGTCAATGCCATGGTCCCTTTGTGGCGGGTAGGCAGCCGGAGGTCATCCTGTGCCCCAGCCCCGCTCTCGCTGGGACGCACACACGCTGCTGAGCCCTGGCTTTCTCTCCCACATGGGGGGCAGGGGAGATTAGTTCTTTTTTCCTCTCTCTGCTTTGTGTAGAGGGAACTCACAAGTCACTACCTGGGCCCCTTTTTGGAAAGAGACAATAGCAAAAGGGTAGTCCTTAGGTTTTTTTTTTCCTGGGGATTTTCCAGGCTGCTGGGACACAGTAGAATTAGCTGAGCAAAGCTTTAAAATCCAAATAAAAGTGAAGTGCTGAAGTACAGGTTTTGAGCCACTTGGAGGTTTTGGTAACATTCTCAGTGCAGTTGGAAATCCACAGCAAATCCACTGACCTCTCCCTACACATCAGTCTGAAATTTGGAGAAAACACTGAGCTTCCATGAAGTACTTTAAGAAACCAAGGATCATGTGAAATACACTGGAAAATTCAGATTCTGTGTCACCAGACAGGAAACAATAAATAAAATTACCTATCCTGCTTGTTGTTTGGGGTTTGAATTGTTGCATGTGGCTCCTTTGGAGCCTGATCTCAATCTTTTGAAATAACTCAGGTATTCTGGCTGAATGGACTTTGGGTCAGGCCATGATTGGGCTTCTGTCCTTACATTAGTCTCTGGGCAGGTCTTTAAGGAGCTAATGTGGAATTCAGAGTCAAGAGCTACCTTTTCATAGATGTCTTCTGCTCTTTCAAGTCTCTGGATCAAATTTTGTTCAGATAGGGGCTTGCAATTCCCACTGAACTCAATGAGAAAGATTTTCTGCTTCCAAAGCAGACCCCAGAGAAATAAACATTGTTTAACTGCTTACTTTGGAACAAGAATTTGGACCTAAGATGTAACTGGTAAATATTTTTACCTTGTTAAGGTATCCTACAATTTCAGCCCTCACTATTTTAAATGACACAAGCAGCGAACTACTGAAAAGAGATGTGCAGACTCTATGTACTCCTAAGACAAGAGTAGAGAAAATAATTATCCGTTTGCTAGGCAGAGAAACTAATTCAGCAACATGAGTTAACACATGCCCAGAACCTCCATGTGAACTCATTGGCAAGATTCAAAACTCCTTTTGAAACTCCAAGAACATTTACAGGAGAAGAAATTGTAGTCAAGGCTTCCTTCCTGCCTTCTTTCCTGCCTGCCTGCCTGCCTGCCTGCCTTCCTTCCTGCCTGCCTTCCTGCCTGCCTTCCTGCCTTCCTGCCTGCCTTCCTGCCTTCCTGCCTGCCTTCCTTCCTGCCTTCCTTCCTGCCTGCCTGCCTTCCTGCCTTCCTGCCTGCTTTCCTGCCTGCTTTCCTGCCTGCCTTCCTGCCTTCCGGCCTTCCTCTCTTAAGGCACCCCAGCCTTGGTACTGCCGTCTGCACATCAAAGTCTGCACTGAAATAAATTAGGACTTTCTCTTCCAGCTCCTTAGATTACACAGAGTTTCTATAGGATCAGTAGCACTTAAACATGGAACAACACAGTTTTTATGGCCTAGGTGAAATATATCTCTCTCTGATGCTGCAAGGTGTGAGCAGTATATGGTTACAAAATGCTTCCAGATCCCTGTCTAAGTGTGCAATATTGTTGCTCTACAGCACATCACCATTGTGAAGCTCAGGACTGATGTTGTTCTTGAGTGCATCAGAAAATCCCCTTACAAATTCAGATTTTAGCCTTTGCACATGAAGTGACAGATTATTCCACACACTGTGTTGCAGTGACACAGCTGGGGGTCCTCTGCCAGCACTGAGCCTTCCTCCTCACACACAGAGTCATTCAAGGATGTGAGGGGGACAGGGTCCTCTCTCCTGCACAGACTCACTTGACTCATTCAAGCGTGAGTTCCTATTTCCACCTGTGCCTGTGGATCCATGTCTTTGCCTTGAAGCATTCCACACTTCAAATGGAGCCACACAGCGCTGTTTGTTAAGAATACAAGAAATTTCACTCACTGCAGCATCCATTCCTCCCCTCCCTCCTGAAATGCAAATACAAATCCACTTAAAAAGAGGGGATCTTTTGACTTCTAACAGAAACTTTTATCCACATAAGAGGATAAAAAATTCATTAGCTTAAGTTGTGTGATTGTAACAGCTCATTAGAGCACTGTGCCTTTCACAATGAGCATGCCTCCAGTCCTACGTGGAATCTGTCAAAGTTAAGGATAAAGGTATGGGACAACTTCACCATCTTGGAAGAAAATTTCTGATTTTTAACTATGCAGACCACAGGGTTCATTAAATGATTTTAATTAACAGTCACAGGCCTGATGTTCAAATCTTCATTTGTGTCTAATTGCAAGCAAAATATGAAATTGCTAAATTGATCATTCTTGACTAGAGGAAAAAATTATGGTTGTTAATTATGTTTTCAGACTATTTGTTGTTGCAGTTTTTTAAGGTAAAATAAATATTTTGATCTCAAGTTTGTCTGCTGCAAAATACAGTTGTGAAAATCCTAACACAGCTTCTCTTCAAACAAGGGGGAAGCTGCCACTTCTGAACAGAAAACATAGTAATTAGTCATACTAATTTGTTGAAAGAAAGGAAAGATAAAGACGAGTTCTCAGCCATTTATCAGATCAAAAAAGTTAGTGATACAGTATTTTTTAATCTGCGGAATCTCAGAAAGCATGGCCTTGAAAAGATAGGTAGTTTGCAACATTTTATAAAATATATGAGGGGAGATTGGAATGTATTTTTCAATCTTCCCCTGGCAGCCTTCAAGGCTTTATTCAATTTATGCATCATCTCTTGAAGTTCAATATGGGGCACTGGGTCCCAAAATGTACTTTGAAGCATCCATAGCAAATCTTCTGATCTCTGCTCTCACCATCTGAGCAATATATGCATTTGAGTGGAATTTGGGATCACCTTTCAGGTTGAGGGGTGAAGCGCTTACTTAGATAACCCACAGTATCTCAGCTTCAATTGCAATGTTCAGGTTTGGATAAATGATTGCTTTTCATTTTCCCTCGAGATAAAAGATACAGTTTTATACTAGGATTTACAGACCTTTGTACCCACATAGACATCAAGTATTTCTTTTAAAATGTATGTTAAATACAAATATTTCAAAAGCAACTATTTCCTTATGCCATTCTGAGAAAAATGATACACCTTTACAGAACACGATGGTTGCAGTAAACTACCATTGTGTGCCTTTAGTAATCAACGAGCTTTTCTGCCTTCACTGCTCTTATTTAATCTAAACCAAGCTCAATCCCTTTCCTCACCCTCAAAGAAGGAAAATTACACATTTTTGTGTGTGTAGCAGTACTACAACAAGAGTTAACAAAACTCCACAATGCAATTGCATGTGGTGAGGCTCAACGCTTTCAGCACTTTTTTGTTTCCAGGTACAGCTTCTACTACAGCAAATTTTTGGGTTCTTTCCGCCACTATTCTGTCACTTGCATTTTTGTTCTGTTCTCCCATACGTCACCCGAGAGCAATGACTGTGTCGTGTGATAAGACAAGCCACGGGCTTGGAAGGGCAAAGCCACAACACAATGATTATTGCTGGAGGGTGCAGTGGAGGGAAGAATAATATGATTTTTAAGATGATTCTCTGAAAGTGATGTGTCATTTGTGGAGTAGTACAGCATGCTCTCAAGGAGCATTTCTGCATCACGAAGACCAAATAAAAAAAATTCTGTTTTCCCAAATTACACAGCGATTTGCACTTAAGACGGTTAGCTTAAAAAAAAAAAAAAAAAAAAAAAAAAAAAGGGAGAGATTTACAGAGGTTTTGTGCTAGGTGCATTCACGGCGTTTTCCCTCTGAAAAATCCTCAAGGTGAAGGTGCTTTAGAATACATTATAAAAAAATTCCTAAAAACAAACAAGCAGATAAATAATCCGCTTGCTACTGCTGAAAGCCCTCAAGTTTCTCTCAGTTTTACAGAACACTCAGAGCTGAGGATTGTACGGACACGCGTCCCGAACCACGCAATTCCCTCAGAACCCGCCCCGCCGCCGCCACCCGCCCTCCTCCTTTGTGTCCCGCCTCCTGATTGGCCCGGTTGTGGCTGTAAGGCGCGCGCGGATTGGTCGGGCGGCGCGCGCTGTTGCCATGGCTCTGTTGCTAGGGCGGCTCTGCCGTCTCCAGGCCCTGCAGGAAACATGTAATGAATTATGGATGCTTGCTTTGCTCAAAGAGGGCCTGATCTGTAATGCAGATGAGCTGCCAGGCCAACCCCCCCCACCTGCCCCACCCCCCTTTTCTTCTAGGTTCTTAAAAAAAAAAGTTAAAAAAAAAAAATCGGGGAGGGGGGGAAAAAAAAATCAGTTTTAAATCAGAATCTGCCGTTTGCGCGTCCCCCACCGCAACAGAGGCTCCCGAAGCCGATGGCAATTCTCATGCAAAGGCAGGGCCAGAGGTCAGTATCTATTATTTGTTCAGGAAAAGCTTGTAGGATTTTTCACTGAACTCTGTGACCTGCTGGGGTATTATTTTTTCCCCCCTCTTTGGTTCGGAGACAAAATAGGATACAAACACCAGAAGTGGTATTTTCTAACAGTTGGAGAGGAAATTGTCCCCTCGGTGCGTGAGGAACGCAGCAGCCAGGCTGGCTTTTCTTGCCTCCTAAAAGATATCTTTGCCCAGACGTGACCCAAGACCTTCCGTCGGCGTGGGTGATGTGGCTCAGGCCTCAAAAATGGTGCCAGAAGCCTTTGGCTGTAGAGGTGTTCCCTGCGAGTGCCACAGCTGTAACATGTCTGCTTCACTTTTCTGCAAAACTGGATCTTGTTACCCACAGAGCGCTCTCCAGCTGGAGCCCCCCACCCCAGCCTGCTTGAACAAAGCCTCTGGTGCTTCATACCTGAATACACAGGTTGCTACAATTCATTTATTTCCCCTTATCTTCTTCGAATAAGAAGTACAGCGGATGTTATGCTACATAAATGATAATAATTTCCTATACCTGATGAATACTGGCGTCAGAGAAGACACCTCTCTTGTGCTCATGCATTTTTGTCTTGGTTAGGGTGTTTCTTCAAACTAGTGAGAAATTGTTTCAATCCTTTCTGTGTCAAGCCTCCATGGACAAATGTAACTTGAAAAATTCTTAATTTTTATAATATATATATATATAAATATATATTATAATATATATATATATAATTATTATTATATATATAATAAAAAAATAATCAACCTGATCCTTGTTTTGAATCAGATGGTGTAATTTTGGTCAGACTCAGCTGAGAGTGGGCACCCTTAGCTGTCGAAATATTGACCTCAGCAGAGAGGTCCCCTTGTACCTTGAAGATTCATCACTGATGTGAGAGATGAGATAGCCCTGCTCCTCCTCAGAGCCCTGTTTTTCAGAGAATTCCACACTAAACAATTTACTCAGCCAGGAAATTACTGAGCAATTAGATTAATTTCTACATATTTTTATTGTGGAATTTTATACCTTTTTCACCTCAGATCCCAACGGATTCATGGTTCTTCTTCTAGGAGAAGGAAATACTTGAGTAAGAGCTCTGAGATGAAGATGAAAGATATCTGACCCTCCTGTGATTCAGAATAGAATGATGTCTTGTTTCTTGGATTGTTAAACAAAATGTTCTGTTGTGTAAAAACCAATGAGCACTTAAAAAATAAGAAAGTCTGTGAAACACTACATAAAGGAGAAGAAAACACTTATGGTTAGCTCTAGCAATCAGACAGTCCATAAGAGCTTCAGCTGCAATGGTCCTTATGTTTTATTATTTTCTATTATTAAAATGTTTTCTATTGAAGAAAATGATTAAGGCAAAATTTTAGTGTCTATCCCACCCTTTTTTGAAAGAGCTATTGTCAAATTCCATTAAAAAAAAATATCCAGACTATAGAATTAGAGAACCCACAGTGCTTAAAGCTGAGAAATGTCTGAGATATGTTTAGCTGAAAATGCAGTATTAAATTTTGTATATATGATTTTTTTTTTCTTGTGGCATGGCAGTGGTTCCCTGTAACATACATTAAAACAAAAGATATGTTAGCAGTTTGCACTTGCAGGAAGCGTAGGTCATGTTTTTGTGAACCAAATAATTGTAGCTTACTCTTTTCATTTATTGATCTTCATTTTTTATACAATAATTTATGTCCAAGGCATTGGAAGATGATTATTCCCACACCTATACAAATAGATGCTGCATATACCATGAGATTTGGGATAACTTTAATAGTCAGCAGAGAGGCAGCAAACGACTTCTTAAGCACATAAGCAATTTAAACAAATCCATATTTCAAGTGCTTTAGCATCTCTCCCATGCTTTCTACTGAGGAATCACGAGAAATTCAACCAGCAGCAGCCAAGCTCTTTCTGTAAGTCTGCTGTCATGTTGTGGAAAGCTCTTGTAATGATGTCTGCAGCAGAGCATGTGCCTTCATGCATTGGTCCAAACTTCACCAAAATAGTGCTTGAACCTTCAGGGCAGAAGACCTCAACTCCAGCAAGCCTTGCATCTTCCCCAGGACATTTTATAGGCTGCTCCTCAGGAGGAACCTTGCTGAGTTCTCCTGATTAAGATTTTATAATTCCCTTTGCTGTGTTTGTGTGCTGAGGGGTGAAGGAGGGGCTGGAGGCCTTTGGGGTATGGACCTAACAACCTGACTAAAATGGATACAATAAATACTGGACAATAGTTCAAGTGTGAGAAGGTCTGGAGTCACCAACAGGGAGAAAAATGATGCAGGAAGCTTTCACAAAAGAAGCAGCTCTTAAGGAAAGAGCTGAATGAGGAAAGGGAACATTTTGGTGCATGATGAGTGAGAGGTTGGTGTGTGGCCAGGGTGAAGCAGGAGGGAATCTTCAGAAAGCAGGAGTAGTGAAGAGAAACAAAGGGAAAATAGTAAACTGTATTTTTTTTCTTCATTTCTGCAGCATCTGATTGAAAAAAAAAATTAAATCTATTTCCATGGAAAATAACAAATTTACATTTCCCCAAAAATTTTTAATGTTATTGTTTCAGTGGAAGTTTCTTTCTTTTAGAAACAAAGGGCTTCTTTCAATTTACTTTAAAAAATGCAAACTTTCTAATGCTCCTTTTCTATTAGGACTGTACAAACAAAAAAGCTTTGCATTTTTAACAATAATAGTTTTAAAACAGTGCTTTAGCACAAACATATTCTTCACGAAGATCCTTTTTTCTGAAGTAATTTCAACCAGTTTATGCTATCAGTAATCTTTATAGAGTTTACATTAATCCACAAACATTGTATAGTGTGATGAAGTTGATGAGAATCAACAAAGGATAAAGTAGAGTATTGCAGCCCAGATAAAGAAACCCTCTGTTTAATGCCAGCTGCTCAGGAAATGTCAAAAGTAAAGTGAGCTTCAGGTCAAGGGCACTGGGAACAGTCTGTTAGCAAACCCTAAGACAGGCAGCTCTTGTTATTAGTATGAACAAGGATATGGTGAGTTCTTTTTAATCTATCCCCAGGCCTCCTTCTGGCTTCCCAGACATGAATTCATCCCATTTGGGCTCACCTCTGTGGCATTGCTTGGAGTTTTTCAAAACATACCCTCTTTGCTCTCTCTAATGTTCTCCATCAGGTTCGCTAAAGGCCAGGATTTCAGTGAAAATCCTGCTCCTAGGAGACCTGTGGGCTCATTGCCAGACCTTGAAAGGGAACAAAATTGTGGGCAACTGCTCTTTTTTTTCACTTGTCTTGACAGCAAGGATTTTCTTCACCCCCTGTTTTTTTGCCATGTACCTGTGAGTGTACCTTGTTTATCACCACTTAAGGGAGTTTTATCTCTTAATACAACACTAAGTTGACAGGTGGAACATCTGAGGAAATAGGACCAAAGTGTGGGAAGGGTAATAACTGGATGAACCTCTCTATTGGTAGCCCCTTCATGGAGGATGAGGCACTCTTTCATGTGACTAGGAAGCAGAGGGGCTGGTTTGAGAGAATGAACATTGTATATGCTGATACTGCTTGACAAAATGTCCCCAGCAAAGTATTGACAACCACTCTGGAATGAACAGCAAAGCAGCTTGGCTCTGTGAATTCAGAGCCATAACAGATACTTTGCTGTAGATGTCCCATGGATGTGCACCAAAAATATGAGGAATTTTGCAATGATTGTTCAGAATTGTGCAGGTTAACAGCACAGAATGATTTTTTTCCCTGATGATGTTTTTTGATCTCTTCAAATTTTCAGGGATCTCTTAAAATGCATGTTTAGTTCTTGAATGCCGTGTTTTGGACCAGAGGAAAAATCCTAGTACAAAACTTTCTAATGTATTTTATAACATGCAAACTGTCAGCATGCTGTGGGATATGACTTGTGCATCTTTATGATACAGCACTAGGTGAAAAACTTCTTCAGTACAAAGTATGTAAGCTCAGCCAGAGCATTAGTCAAATTGATGAGGCCTACTCATTTAGAAATTGTCATAATATGCAAATATGTTCTCACATTTTATTGTTTGAATAGTGGATATTGGGAGATATAGATTGGGAAGAAATAGATGAGTGACTCAGAGGCTGCTGGTGCCATAAAACTTTATGATTATTAGAGCCAGACAGTCTTTCAGATTTGGTTCTGTTTGCAGAGTAATTGTCCTGTGAGAAAGAACAGCCAATATGATGCAATCTACTACGGATCCAAACCTTTGTCTCCACAGTGACAGCATTTATTTCATCATATGTTAGATATTTAGAGAGGAGGAATTTACAGCAGATCTAGTGAGTCCAGATTTATTGGAGATAAACATTTTTTGGCACATAATTTGCTTGATCTATTTAGTTCTATCTTCCTTAGATTGTCCATGTTCCAGATGTAGGTGTGTTGGGATCACAAGGCCAAAATGAATATTCTGTCAGTGTGCTGTCGTGATACAGGCTCTCTAGGAAACTCACTTTATATCTGCTTCAAAAGATCTCTGTACAGAGCAGCCAGGGTATCAGGCCCAGCCAGCAAGGGTTTATGAAATACAGGCCTTGCTTGATCAAGCTCCTCCTATGGCAAGGTGACCTAAGTGGGTGAGGGAAAGACTGTAGATGTTTACCTGGATTCTTGTAAAGCCTTTGACACCATTTCCCATAGCATCCTTCTCCAGAAAGTGGCTGCTCGTGGCTTGAATATGTGCTCTGTTTACTGGATAAAAACTGGCAGAGAGTGGTGGGGAGTGAAGTTACATCCAGCTGTGACTGGTCACAAGTGTGTTCCCCAGGGCTCAGTAGTTGGATCAATTCTGCTTAATGTCTTTACCAGTGATCTAGGTGAGGGGATTAAGTGTGCCCTCGGTCAATTTGCAGGTGACACCAAGTTGGGTGGAAGTGCTGATCTGCTGGAGGGCAGGAAGGGTCTGCAGAGAGATCTGGACAGGCTGGACTGATGGACCAAGGCCAGTGGTCTCAGGTTCAACAAGCCAA